TTCTGATGAGAACAGTGTAAGCGTTCAAGCAAACCACTTCTGAAGATGCAAGCCACTCGTGCTTGCGAAACGTCAGGAAGAAACTCTACCGAACGACGGCCTAAAAACCCGAAAAACCCATTAGTTTGAAGGGATGGGCTCAAAAGTCTATCTCTTTTGATTATTGAGTACAGTTGAAAATGTTAATATGCCGGGTACAATACCAGAAGACTTCTGGCCACGCAACACCCAAGTGTTCCCGAACCCAACAACAAGCATTTGGTAAACTTGATTTTTTCCAGATTGATATCGGGAACCACGCGCCATTTCATCAGTTTTAGGTTTAAATCCACGGAATTTTCAGCTAATCTAAAAACATTCGCAGACGAATTTCATGACGCTCAGCAAGTACCTAAACAACTTACACTGCAGGATCAAGAGTGCTTTTCATATGGGCAACTTTCGGTCCCAAACGGTCTCTTTCATTTTTTTCCCACCCCACCCAGGTGTTCAGAGTGTTTTCGCTAACGGTGGGCAACTTCAAATGGAATACCATAGACTTATCGACATTAATTTCAGATCCATCGCGCGAACAGATAATTGATAGGAATTTTTGAGTCGTGTCCTGCAAAAAAGGCCTAAAATGTGAAGTTTTGATAAAACCTAGCTCGAGTTTAAGCCAACATACCACACATGAGTGAGAAGAGCGACAAAGTTCCGCAGCTGAGACCCCACCAGATCCGGACAAACAGAAATATTGAAAAATGCAAAATAAAAATCTTTAGTAGCATCCATTGAGAGGCCTTTAACTTCCTTTAACGTTAATATTTTATTAAGCTTGGAATCCACTAGGAAGTAGGTCTTTTGGATGGCGCTAAGCTGCTTAAATTCGCTGTACAAAGTAGATCTCTGAAAAAATGGCTTGTTGAGTCGCACTATCACAAAGTACAGAACACAGAGGGGAGACTTACAATGTCTTTGGTAAATACGGCAGAAATGTTGCTTTTGTCTGCAACTTCGATAAACAGGTTTTTAGGTACAACAAAGGCGAACCAATAATAATAATCATATTTCTTCAAATCCTGCAAAGAATTAAAGCTTGTAGGAAAGCAAATAATTAACCACAGCACTTACTGCAAACGACAATATTAAAAAACTGTTTAAAATTGAGGGTTTTTCTAAAGCTTCTCCGCTAACTATACTTCTATACAAGTTAGCACCCGCAGCATTTATAATGCCCATTTTGTCGCATTCCTTAAACTGTTCAACGGTGTTTCTGTTGCACAGGGTGCCCTCAAATGGCACGTACATGTTCTGGCTGTTGAAATCTCTGGAATTAAACGCTGGCATGAAAGGTGGCCTTCCTTCGCAAAAACATCCACTTACTTATTAAACGATGTACTATCTACTTCGAGGTAAGGGTGCGGGACAGTACAATTATTCAACAAAGGAAAATACGCCCAGACATGTCTTTCAGCCTCACTCAATCTGTCCACATCTAACTTAAGTTCGGTTAACTTGCTCCAGAAAGTGGGATTCACGAAGGATGTGAGTTGAATGTAAGTGAGCTTCTCCGCCATGGCAAATATGGGTTTTTTTAACTGTTTTCTTCAAAGGAATATCGGTTGAAACAGTTTGTAAACAAACTGTATGGTTATGTTAAATGTCAGTCTGAGTCAATCACATCAACTTTAAATGGGGGACGACACTTTTGGGCAGCCGCCGATAGAGGGCACAACACGAACTATACGCATTAGCAGAATTCTTGAAGACGACGCGCCATCTCGTTCACTCTCCACGAATCAAGCACTAGACCAAGCGCTTGAGACAAATGTTAAATTTGAGTTCCAAAAAAAATGGACTTGGTTAGCACAATAAAAACAAAAGTTAGACAATTACTGCTTAAAACTGATCAGTTTTTGGGGCCTACGCCCGAAAAATTGCAACAATGCTCGAGTAGTAGGAGGCAATTCCTTCGACGATGACCTAAACTGTGGAAAACCCGACCAGTTTTATTCATATAAAAGTTTTAAATGATCATTATTGAGGACTTTTATGCTTGAGTTTTTCGGCCCGTAACTGGCAACCGAATTTCGCTACATTGGCCGCGCACTAAGACGATTTCCGTGGATCCAGTTAGCGCCCAAGTATGTCATTACGTGCAAAGCGCAAGTTCATATGTGCCTGGGTAGTAAAGTTTGATACGAGATTCCGGACTATCTTCCAACGCAGGCGGTTTTGCGCCGCACGCCCTCGTCGCTGATCAAAACTGTTTTCTAAAGCGCAAAACCCGCATACCATGAGAACGCCCCGACCAATCAAATAACAGCACAAATTACACGATACGATGGCCGATGACAAGAAAACGAATTTTGCAATTAACTAAGACGAACTAAGACGGATTATTGGAGTCGTCAAACATGTAAGCATTTTTCCAGTAAATAGCCCGATTTTTCCTGAGCAGAAAATCGTGGGGTTTGAAGGTTGTGCTAGGTGGCAGTGTTATCGTGTAAGTTCAGCCGCTCGCTTGGAAAATATCCCGGCAGAGGGCCAATGTAAATATTTGGAATACCATGCATACCAAACTCACAGGTTCGACCGAAATGTCAAATTCTTTTCACAAGTTTACTGTTTAGTGCGGTACAGGCCGTAAAAAATACAATAAGACTTTACCGGATCAAGATTAATTGTTTCAAATTGGCATCCGTCTGTGTATTAATTGGAAAGTGTTGTTCAACCGGCAGTAGGTGAGTTTCCTCAATTTCTAGCAGGGAAAGTATTGATTTCTGGGGGTAAACACCCCTTGGAAGTCCGTCCGGGCCAGCCCGACCAGGAAATTATCAGCTATTTTCGGTGAATTGTTCCCCTCGTTTTCACTCTCTCTTCATTTAAATTCCCCGAATATCCGGTTTAATTCTTCAAATAATCATAGTGCTTCAAATGGGAGATCAGCACTTAGACCATGCGAGTGTGCAAAGACAGTGCCCGCATTGTTTCTTGCTGAGATAGTGTTTTGTTTGTGCAATTTCTAGTGACCTAGTAATTTTTTGTTGTCAATTGTTCGACGAGCATTCCAAACATTTGAACTATTGGGGTCACTACTGCTCATTGAAAAACGTTAGCCCAATTCGCATTTAATGAGATCGGACAAATATTCGAAAGTATTCACAACTTTTTCTCACTGAGAAATCGCAGGGCTTTTAAACGCAAACAGCAAACATGTGGCGGCTTGATATTGAAGATGCAACCCAATCTACTGCGTCTTCAAGTCACAATTATCTTTAATGAATCCGAGACAGATAATTGGATTAAGATGCCTTAGATTTGTAAACAACCGTGATACGGTAGACAATCAGTTGAGCTTTGGAATTTCGGAAAATAATACGCCGATTCGGTTTGGCGAAAAAATTCAATGGTGGAAGCACGGGCAGACCGTTGCGCTTCCATCTTAAGCCCTTCAAAATTCAATTTCAGAGCAGGTAAAATCTGGCAAAATTTCCCCAAATGCCTATCTAATGCCTAACTTATACCTATTAAAAGCCAAGTCCTATTTTAAATTACATAATTTTCCGTTAAACGCAGGGGCGGATCCGACTTTAAAGTCAGGGGGGGGCGGGTTATGTAGAAAAAATACAGTCTTCTGTTGTTTATGAAATTAGAAAAATTATCGCCGTTTTGTGCAAGGGTGGCGCAAGATTATTGCAAAATTTCCTGTTTTCCGTCCCGTTTTGCATGTTTCTCGGAAGCAAAATGAGCAAGAACGCTCGTTTTTACATCATTTCAAAGATAACTAAATTCGAAGTTTCTCGAGATCCATTCGAGCCACAGAATTCGT